ACTAGAATTAAAATTTAGACTTCAAAAAGCACATGCTGATGCAAGAAAAAATTTAATTTTATCTAAAGAAAAAAGGAAAAAGAGATATGATGAATATTTAAAACCTGTGATGTATAATAAAAATGATATGTTATTAGTAAAAAACGAAGTAGGAAATAAATTCAGTGATGTGTACTCTGGTCCTTATAAAGTTTTAAAGGATATGGATCCTAATGTTAAAATTTTACGTAATAATAAGGAAGAAATTATACATAAGAATAGGACGAAATTGTATGTAGAGTAAAAAAAAAAACAAACAATGTATTTTTTTTTTTTTCGTTTTGATGGGGCGTGTGGTGTCATAATAGGGTGATGTCATTAACCTACTTTAAGTTAGTATTTAAGCTATTATATCTTATTATATTAGAGACTTATTAAAGTGTATTCGAACCTAGTGGTTGTCTTATTACAATCCCGCTCCGAACCCTATAAGTATACATAACGTTTAGGTTCATATAAAAAAATAATAGTAATAATATGAAATATTAATACTTTTTGTAGAATATGTTGAATGCTTTTTTATATAGAAACTGTATTTTTTAAAGTGTGTAAAAAAACTATGAAAAAAACTCTAAAAAAGTAAGTTTCATACAAACTTTCATCCCCTATTTTACCCCCTTATGGAATGAATTTCTAAAAATGCTAAAACACGTATAGCATTAATACTAAGTTTCAAGTAATTCTGATCATAAATATTTTGTGGGTTGTATTATTATAGTGTATTTCTGTTGTGTCACTCTGTTTCGACATGAAAGAAGGACAAACAAACAAACAAAAATAGTATAGAAGTATGGATTACCACCTTGTGGTACGTTAATGAAAATAATGGAACATACATACGTTATGTATGTATTATAACAACTCAGCAATGTTTCTTCGCAATGGGATGAAAGATCTAAGTACGCATAGAAGATGAGCATTTATTTTTACACTAGCATTGCCCGCGGCTATGCCCGCGTTCAGATGACCATAAACTAAATTCTTAGGTTTTACATATTAGTATACTCTTACATTGCAGTTTTTGTATTTTTTCTCTAAAATGAGATATTTTCCCGCGGTAAAAAGTATACTATATGTTGACCCGAATAACCAGCTATCACCATACTAAATTTCATCAAAATCCCACCAGTGGTTTTTCTGTGATGCGGTAACAAACAGACAAAAATTCTAAAAACTATAGATTCGGGCTCTGTATCAATAATAATGTTTATTTCAATAAGATTTTCCAAAAAATATTTAATGTACAGATTCCACTTAGTTACAATTTTATTATATGTATAGATATTGAAAATTGCTGTATGTCGCCTTCAAGGCATATTGTAATAATATAAAAACTGAATTTGTCTGATTATTATATACAAAAAGATAAACGTTTTGATGAAATGTTTGTATTGTCGAACATCTGTACAAGCAAATTCAACAATATTTATAATGTTTATCTTTCTCTTTGGCTGTATTTTAAACATTTAACAAATTCTGTCGATAAGATTGAAATTAACATGAATGGTGAAGAATTCTTGTATTGATCCTGCAAATAAATTATAGTCTTATTAATGTTATCTATAATCTAGCTTGTCTAGTGGTCGAAATTCGACAATAACCATTAAGTACATGAAAAAAACTGGTTTTTTCTCCAATTTTTTTTATTGATAAAACTAAAACTCGTCAATAGTTACTAAGTAAAAAAGAAAAAAAATTGAAAAACATAGGAAAAAATGTACTGAACTATTTTATCTTTGCCGATTTATAGATTATATAAGCGGCTCATACTCGCTTCGCTCAGGTTCGCCTCTAGAAAAACAAAAACAAATCTATCCCACGGGAACCATAAATTTTTCCGGTATAAAAAGTAACCTATGTGCTGCTCCAGACTATAATCTATCTCAGCCGTTCTGGCTTGATTGAGTTACAAACTTTCTCATTTATAATATTAGTAAGATGACAAAATAAAGCAATACCCACGTCCTACGCTTCCAGCATTGGCAGCGTATGTAAAAAAGAGTCAACATCTTTTCGCCTTATTCAAAATTCTGATTTTAGTCAATTCTTGTGTTTATTGTATACAATTTTTTGTCAATAAAACATGCTATCATTTAAGTTTTAAAATAAATATTATTAAAAACATTGAATTCAATTTGGCTGTTTTTGCAAATTTTACAATAATTGACATAGTAGGAAATGAGATTCGTATGACATATATTATTTACCATTATTAAGTAATAATTTTGTTATTTACCATTATTAAGTAATAATTTAAGTGCGAATGAGATGTATAACCAATTCTTTAAATCTTTTAGTAAACTTTACAATTCGGTATTCACTACCAAATCGGTTACAGTTTCTGATACATTGGTATTTAGTGAGTGGGCAACTGCAGAGTTATATAAAAAAAGAGAAAAATTATACGAAATGTACGCAGAAAGGCAGCATAACACTAGTGAACGGTTTAGAGACAAAGTTAAATCATTTTCCAAATTATTTAAAAAGGATTGCGAAATGGCAAAGTCTCATTATCTGAGTAACAAGATAGAAAATAGTGGTAATAAAATTAAAGCTACATGGAAAATAATTAACGAGGAAACTGGAAAGAGTAAAACTCTAAACAATAGCTTTAAATTAAATATAGATAATAAATACATTAGTTCTGACTCTGAGGTAGCCGCCGCGTTTGAAACCTTTTTTACCGACATACCAGTTTCCACTACTAGGTCTCTGAACTCTTCACCTGCCACTGCGATCAAATTATTGGAACAAAATGTGGAAGAATGCAATATTAGCTTTAAGTTCGAAAATATAAATGCACAACAAATTATAAATGTAATTAAATTACTGAATGTTAAAAAAACAAAAGATCTTTGGGGAATTTCTGTTAGCATCCTTAAACCACTTATTGATGTTGTTGCATCTGACTTAGCATTAATATTTAATAAGTGTGTAGAATCTGGTGTGTTTCCTGACTTAATGAAACTTAGTAAAATTATTCCTTTGTTTAAATCGGGTTGTACCTCTGATGCCACTAATTTTAGGCCTATTTCAATATTACCTACATTTAGTAAAATCTTTGAAAAAATAATGTTAACTCAAATTACGAAACATTTTTATAATAATGAACTATTACATGTAAAGCAATACGGTTTCACTCGCGGTCGTTCAACAGCCGATGCTGGAGTCGCGTTACTTCTAAATATATTTGAGGCCTGGGAGGAGTCACGTGATGCACTTGGCATTTTCTGTGATTTGTCCAAGGCATTTGATTGCGTTCATCATGAAACGTTGGTCAGAAAATTACACCACTACGGAATTAGAGATAAGGCTCTGGATTTACTTAGATCATATTTGAATGAAAGAATCCAGAGGGTAGACGTGAATGGAAAGCGTTCCCCTGGATCAGTTGTTGAAATGGGTGTACCACAAGGTTCAATTTTGGGTCCTTTTTTGTTCCTCATTTATATAAATGACCTACCATACCTCGTAAAGGATGACCACGGGATAGTTTTGTTTGCTGATGATACATCTTTAGTTTTTAAAGTTAACAGACGACAAGCAGTAATTGACGATGTGAACATTGCTTTATCCAAAGTGGTACAATGGTTTAACGTCAACAACCTTTTACTAAACGAGAAAAAAACAAAATGTGTAAAATTCACTTTACCAAATGTTAAAAGTGTAAAAACCAATGTACGACTGAATAATGAGGAACTAGATCTAGCTGATACCACTGTATTTCTAGGCATTACATTAGATGCCAAACTCCAATGGGGCCCTCATATTTCTCAATTATCGAATAAGCTCAGTTCTGCAGCCTACGCGGTTAAGAAAATACGTCAATTAACAAATGTAACGACAGCTAAGTTAGTATACTTTAGCTATTTTCACAGCATTATGTCATATGGTATTTTACTATGGGGTAATGCTGCTGATATTGACACAATTTTTGTGCTGCAGAAAAGGGCTGTTCGAGCTATATATAATTTAGGCCCAAGAGAATCTTTGCGGAATAAGTTTAAAGAAATTAAAATAATGACTGTACACTGCCAATACATCTATCAAAATCTAATATATGTACATAAAAATATTGATAAATTCAAGAAATATAGTGACCTGCATAATGTAAACACTAGAAACAAAAATAAGCTAGTTCAGCCCACCACTAGGCTCCATAAAATTGGTAATTCCTTTATTGGTAATAGTATTCGCTTTTACAATAAACTACCAGATGATACTTTAAAACTGTCAATAAATAAATTTAAAATTTACATTAAAAGACAATTAATAAATAAATCCTATTATAATGAAAAGGATTATTTAAGTGATAAAAAAGCTTGGGAATGAATTGCTCTTTATACTGAAGTAAGGATGTTTGTGAAACAATGATCACAATAAAAAAAAAATGTTACTTGGCTGAGTTTCTTGTGGGTTCTTCTCAGACCAGGGCGCGTTACGAACCCTCGTAGCTTTAGTTTAAGTCTTCTAATTGACGTACACAAGTGATCATTGAATTGATACAATGTGTAAAAAGAAGTAAATAAAATAAAAATAAAATATATATTGTAAGGCAAAAATAATTTACCTAATCCTTTTAACGTCTCGCGAAGCGAATACATGACCTCTGAGTAAAACCGCTGTTTAGGGCAAAACAATGTTAATTATTTATTATTAGAAATTGTGTCTAGTTAAACTAGAACTTAAAGATAAAGACAGTTAAAATTATTTTTTTGGCCATCATTATTAATTATGATTTCTTTGTTATTAGTAAGGGACAATTAGGAGAAAAATTAAAGAATATATTCTGGATGCAATGGTATGTATTCTAATATTATATTTACACAACCAGTCCTTAGCTTTAATCAAAATAATAACAATAATATGCCGCTAACCATTTCTTCGAAATGTGTCGAAATGGATGGAGAAATTTTTCTATTTATAACATTTGGTATCATCACTAGAACAGAATTAGCTTATAGTTTCTTCCCATAACCAAGACCGTATCCGCCACCAAGACCGTATCCGCCTCCAAGACCGTATCCGCCACCAAGGCCATATCCGTCACTGATGCCGACGGGTGCGATGGCGACTGATTGATAAACAGCTCCGCCGAGGCCGCCGAGACCTCCAAGACCGCCAAGACCGCCTCCTCCTATGAGTCCGGAACCACCGCCAAGTAATAAAGCACCATCTTGGGCGTTTCTCGCTACCGTGTCAGCGACAGCTTGAGCTTGAGCAGCGCTTGTAGCGACTGCGGCAGCTTGAGCTCTAGCGGCATTGGCGATACGTGCCGCCTCTACAGCACGGGCATTGGCGATAGCGGCAGCTTGCACGCGAGCGGCGTTAGCAACGCGCTCATTTTCAACAGCACGGGCGAATTCAGCCGCTGCAGCAGAAGCAGCGCGTCTCGCAGCATCAGCAGCACGAGCGTTTTCATAGGCAGCAGCTTGAGCTCTTTGAACATTAGCGATACGTGCTGCGTCTAGAGCCTGAGCATTCTGAATAGCGTTAGCCTGTCCTGCTCTAGCAGCAGCTTCAGTAACACGTGCACCCTGGATAGCGGCGGCAGCGGCGTTGGCGATTTGAGTAGCCTGCACGGCCTGAGCGTTTTGGATAGCGCTGAGCTGAGCAGCACCGACAGCGGCAGCGTTGTTTAAGCTACCACCTCCGCCAATCAGACCAGATCCAACAATGATACCACCGGAGGAACCGATGAGACCTGCTCCATTAGAGATACCGGCTGCTGAAGCACCAAGCCCATATCCACCGATTCCATTTCCATAACCGATTAATCCACTCGCGTCCGCACGAGAATCAGCAGCGGGGGCGTCTTTCCTCACTGCAAAATATTAAAATAATATTTTAAAAAATTGAAAAAGACATATTAATAAGCATTTGGGTAGTTTTGAGAATATTTTTATTACATATTGAAGTAAAAATATCTAGTAACATAGAAACTGACCATCTCCAAGTACTCCATACGCCGCAGCGATGACAAAGAGAATCTAAAAAATAATAAGTTATATTTAAAAACCCAGTATTTATGCATTTGAATTATAAGCACTATTTCAAAAATCTTCTTATGCATTGCGTTTTTGCCTCAACTTACCGTAAGTCGAGACATCGCTAATTTGTTATGCTGCTACAAACAATTGTATCAAACTGATATGAGTAAATGATAACTTCTTCAAAACGTTTGCACTTTTATACACCACCAAAACTACAGGCAACTAAATTAACATTGCTAAGTAGCCCTACTGTACCGTCCTATTTGAATATCATTACCTGCCGCTGTAAAAACTGTTCGCTGAACCTGTACTGCAATGATACGGCTGACCACACAATTTTGAATATTAATTACATAAAATAATTTCAAAATAAACCTTAATAATTAGAACAGAAAGTCTAAATTGTTATCCACTAATATATAATATTGATTTATTTATAGTACCTTATAATAATAACAGAAATCGTCCACATCCCTAGACAACAATTTCCTTTTACAATCGTGAGTGAATTACTGCTAGGATGTAAGTATTGGGTAATTAGCAAATACTGCAGTAAACAAATATAATTAAAAATTGAAATAGGCTATCGTATGCAAAATATGTACAAAAATAAACCTTCTTCTGCTTGAACGATTTAGATGAAAGTAATTCTCATATTTTGTTTTAGTTTATAAGCACATTTAAACGTAATATTTTAATTACAAAAGGTATGTAGATTAAAAATAATTTGAAAAAATATATTGGGCATTTATTTGTATATAAATGCCCAATATTTTTTATGTTATATATATTGTATATATATTGTATGAACTGATATTAATAATTTAGTAAGTTAATAATTTAATTTGATATATTTTAAAAATTCCATGAATTCCTTAGAGTTTTAGAATTAATTCATAAAAAATCATGTTATTTTTAACCCCCTACGCTAAAGAGCGGTGTTATTAGTTTAACGTGTGTATCTATGTATCTGTGTGTCTCTCTATAGCATCATCATCATCACGTCTCCTTGGCCTGATGCTGCAGCATCAAGATGCAGCATATCTGCAAGATACTCTCTACTAACACGAACTCTTTACTAACACATTGCACAGATATCGTGTTTATGCTCATTGAAAAAGGCCTCAATGAATATAGGTTATTGTGTTGGGGGTTTTGTAAATTATTAATTTAATTTCTTGTAACCATCAGAGAAAGCAGAAAATTTAAAGCATATATCAAAGATAAGATTAACTGCGGCTTTTCATATTTGGAATCCATTGTCTACACAAGGTGTAATATAGCAATCATGAATAAGTTATCTTTGCAGCAAATTAGTAGTATATATTATTAATATTCGATTCTCACTTGGCTTAAATGCTTCCAACTATTTCCAACAATACTATTTTCCAATGAAAACACTGATGAAATACCGAGATAAATTGAAGCCCTATAATTTTTTGCTTGCAAATGGTTTATTAACAATCTCAGACATATTTGTGAAAAGCTGTCTTTAAAAATTTTGACAAAACTGTCTGCAAGTTATATATAAGAGGCTATTTACCCCATATGAATAAAAAAATAAAATTTTTAACTAAAAATCTGTACAGTCTATTGTATACACTCACGAGTATATATACTTCTTGCGTAACTCTTTTTATAATTCCAAACAATATTTCTATAGATTGATTGATATAATATCTATATAATAATTTAGAAATAGAAATTAGTTTTATTTTCCCCATATATTTTAAATCAAAAATTGCTACAATACTGGGTTAGAATGTTCAATTCAATTCAATTTTCTAGTTAATGTTCTATTTTTTCTAGTTAATTTTCTAGTCATGTAAAATGGAGAAAACATGAAGAAGATGGTCGGTAAAATAAGATTTTTAAACTATATTTTGCAGGTGTCGAAATGTTAACTGTCATTTCAAAAAACTTAATCTAAATATCGAACTTCTTTTATGAATGCAAAAGTTCGTATGCGTGTGTGTATGTTTGTTACTCCTTCACGTTGAAACAGATCAACGGGTTTTCATGAAATTTAGTATACGGATAAACCTGAAGTAACATACTATATATTATACACTAGTGCTAGGTACCTAGGGACATAACCCAAACAAAGGTCACTAAGACCTAGGTAGAATAATATCGGAGGATAAAGTAATAGAATAGAAGCCAAATAAAACTTAAATATTGTTACATCAATTCGTGTACACTGTACAATAAATGTATATATGCATATTGCAGTTTGCAAGCAACATATTATCTAACATAACAAACGGTTATTATGCGCGCCTACGATTTAGCACGCGGGTGCATTAAGACATCAATGTTGACATACATATTGTACCCAATACGGATTGCGATGAAAATTGTTATTCGAAGTTAATCAGTTCAGTTTTTTTTATGTTTACTGCCTACACACTAATCTATATTAATATTATAAATGTGAAAGTGTGTTTGTTTGTTTATTTCTTTGTTTGTTTATTTGTACTTCTTTCACGTCGAAACGGAGTGACGGATTGGCGTGACTTTTTGTGTGGAGATAGTTGGAGAGCAGTAGAGTGACATAGGCTACTTTTTTCCGCGGGAGATTATCTCTTTCCCGCGGGAAAACACGTTATAATATAATCCAAAAAAATATTTATGATCAGAAATATTTGAAACTTGGTATCAATAATCTTCAATACAATTAATTAAATATGTGTTTTAGCATTTTTCGAAATTCATCTCATATGGGGGTAAAATAGCGGATAAAAGTTTGTATGAAACCTACCTTTTTAGAGACTTTTTTGTAGTTTTAGCGCGAACGAAGCCGCAGGTTCTGCTAGTATTATACCTATATAAAAAAAATGTTTTTGTTACTTCTCCATAATGTGTGCCTGTAATGAAGAATGAAGGTAGATTATATTCCCGGTTAATAATACACTTATGCTATTTTTATTCACTTATTATATTGTTAGCGATAGGATCATGTAAACTAGTTTATAAATAGTATACTACATTTAAAATAATTGATTTGTTTGCATTAAATATTTATTTATATAATTAAAATTATATGTTAATGAAATTCGTAATTGAAATATCACTAATGAAGAAATTCATGTCTATAATTTTATTTTACAACAAAGAGATCTATCTCGTTCCTTTTTCCGGGATGAAAACTAACCTGTCGTTTGACTGGCAATATAAGGCATGCTAAATTTTACCAAATTGCAGTGCATAAGTTGTTGTGTACTAAGCTGTATAAGTTACTATCGTTTTTTAACTATCCCACGGGCAATAATTTTCCGCGATGAAAAGTATCTAAGATGTTGCCCGGGGATATAAGGTACCACCATGCAAAATTTCATTTAAATCGGTTCAATAGATTCGGAGATTAGCCCGTACAAACAGACAAACAGACAGAGAAACAAAAAATTTGAAAAAATCTGGATTTGTTCTATTTGTCTTCTTACATCCCCCTGACTTGGTTTTTAGCATTTTTGTTCTATGTACAGACATTCGACCTCTACAGTTTTATTATAGTATAGATAATTTGATAGGTTAAAGATAGTCTATTCATTCTTGGGCATAACTAATATAATAAATATTTTAAAAAAACCAGCCCCCAATGAGACTCACCCTACATCGATAGGAAGTGGAGAAACAATAAAGTCTTATCTCTCTGCTTTAATAAATCGCAAGATAAAATTCATAATAATGGGGATGGAAAAGTAGATGTTTGTAAAGCGTAAATCGAATTCCCATACAATAGAGTTCAATATGTTAAATATTGTAAATGTAACATTTTCAATGGTAAATATTGGCTTTAGTGATCTAGTAGCTAGCATATGCGGCTACAGATACGGAGTCCTGGGTTCGAATAAGCCTTGATCAGACCAAGTTTATTATTTAATTTTTTCTGTCAAAAAATCATCAGTAAGAATCCAGAGTTGGAATATAGGCGTTGTTGTTAACCTAACGCCTCGGAGAATTTGAAAAGCCATCCATCATCATCATCATTGGCCTGATCTCCCACCAATCGTTTCAAATTATCATCCCATCGGAGTGTAAGTTATGAGAGTGGCAGTGACATTGGCCACCGTGGTCGAAATGGGTCAGAAAGACATTATTATTATATTACTAGCGATTTACCCTCGCTTCGCTCAGATCTCTAGGTTTAAGTACGTTTTAAAGACTTTATATATGAAATATTTAATGTTCAGATTTTATTTTTTATTTTTTCATCACTTTATATGTACCTATGGGATGTCTTTTCATTCTCAGAAGAATTATTTTACAAAACAAAAAACATCTATAAATAAAATTATCTATAATATAAAAATGAATCGCTGAATGTGTTGGTAAGCGCAAATCTCGAGAGCAGCTGAACCGATTTCGCTAATCCTTTTTTTAGAATATTCCTTGAAGTACGAGGATTGTTCTTACGGAAAGAATAATTTAAAAAATTGCCTGAAAAAATCTAAAAACAACACTTTTTTATACTCCTAAAAAGATTCGTAATAATACTTAAAAGTCAATTTGAACTTTAATACCATAACATAAAGTTTAAGTGTTAGTGGAGAGGTTCCGGGAAGGCAAAACATTGATGGCAATTGAGTGACGTTAGAATCGTATGAATATTAATGTCAATATTTGTCAATATTATTAACAAAAAAAAATTATATGGCTAATGCTGGCTAATAACTATGTATATCTATTTAAAACGTACCCCGCGACGATTTTTTTGTTGTTATGAAAACATGCAGCAGATCTGTCAAACTGAACGTCACATATTCAGTCATCTTATAACATTGATATTCACACATAATATCCAAATTTCTGACTTTTCCAGCGGATTTTCCAAAAAAAAATCTTTCTAAAAACCTTGCAATTAGCCAAATAGATACAGCCGTTCTCGAGTTTTGCGCTTAGCAACACATTTAGAGATTTTTTTGTTTGAATTTCACATTCTTATTTATAAGATTGTAGTACATTGAATTTTTTTAATACAATCTTTTGAAACATCTGCTTAAATTACTTAATACTACTTAAATATTTTAAATTCCAGGACTCACGGACAAATTTATTCTTAAAATATAATTTTGTTTTACTCAAGTATCCTCCACAGTCAAAAGCATTTTTTTAATATAGTATTAAATAAATAAAATAAATAAAATACTTCTGTTTACGCTAAGTCATAACTCAATCATGAATTCGAAAATAAAATACCTCAATTCTTAGAAGACTATTTTATATTAAATATACTACTCAGTGTTATTTTTTTTAAGTCATAAAATTTTTAAGGAGTGTCGTAAATAAAAAACTTAAAACATATATGCATAGTTATTCAAACAATATTTACGCAAATAATGATCACGAGGTCGCTTCTTGACCGGCCGCAACGAACTCGTTAAATCGGTTAAGTAAAATATTTAAAATTTGTTGTTATACAAAAACCGCAGCATATCGCGTGTCATTGCTATTCTTGCACTCGATTCACTTGAGCAATGCGAATGTTACAAATTGTTTTCAATGTTTATATTTCGGATCATCGGCTATTAGACTTAAAAGTTATTGAGAAAAATATTATATTCTTATAAATAAAAATGAATGGTTAAATGTATTGCTAAGCGCAAAACTCGAGAACGGCTATACCAATTCGTATATTTTTTTTTCAAATATTTGTTTAAGTTTGGAAGGTTCTTATGAAGAGAAAAATTGGAAAAATGTCACGGAAAAACATAAAAAAACATATTTTCCTCTTTCCTTACTAATTCTTAATAATTATGAACGCACCCTTAAAATTAATATAAACTACATATTTTAATGTATCTGTAAATGGGACGGTTTCTCTTTCTACGATATACCTATAGTTTGACTTTGTTTGTTTGTTCTTTTTCACGTGGAAACAGAGTGTTTGGAGTAATTTTTTGTGTGGAGATAGTTGGAGGGCTGGAGAGTGACATAGGCAATTTACCGCAAAAGATTATCCTATTCCACGGAAAACATATTTTTATATGCTATTCCATACTAATCGTTAAAACGTATCTAGGAATGAATCCGAGCGAAGCGAGGGTGAGTTGCTAGTTATGAATAAAAAATAACTTGTTTACTTAATATACAAACCAAGTGTACTTATTAATTACACTAAATTAAGTACACTTAACGTATAACTGTTCATGTTCACGTGGAAATTTGGCAAGAATGGTAAACGCACTCCCCCGCTGAATAGCAACGTTGACTCTTTGGGCAAAAAGCAAGCCAGCTTTCTTGTCACCAATGGAGGCAATAGGATGACGTGTTATGTCTTTTAAGAAGTGTTTAGTGCTTCAACTAGCAAGTTTCTACAGCATATATATACATAAAGGCATAATTTTTAATTCATAGTTGACTGCAGTGGAAATTTAAAGTTATTGCCCGCTAGTCCCTCTCGTCCTGTGGGTGCTTCGATAAAAAATATTTTGTGGGTTAATCCAGGAGAAAATCTCTTTAGGGAAAATTCTTTTTACGAAATGAATTGAATTTCATAGAGCCGTTACAGCGTAAAGAAAATAGAAATATCACACACTCTCGAACTACTTTAGTGAGCTATCGGATTGAAAAAATTAAATACAGAAGATTTTATTTTTATTTTAAATATATGTTAAGTTTTTATCATTAAACATTTACAACATAAACGTAAAAAAGAAAACGTAAAGTACAAAATGGCATATTTGATTATTATTATTAAATTCATAAAGTAAGTGAAGTGATTTCTTGAAATAATCAAACTCAAAAGATAATTTCAATAATACTAGTAAGTACATATTATATTTTATTGAACAATACAGAATAAAAAACTCTCTTCTCTCTTCATATAGACGCTTGCTTCAGTACTAATAGAAATCCAACCAAAATATACAGTAATTTTCTAATATTGCAAGGTTTTTTTGTAGAATTACTATTATTTTTATACTATTTATATCAAAACATTGTGTAAAAAACTATGAGTAAGTTGCAAATATTTATTTAAAATTATCCATTTCATACTCCTCGACGACTGGCATTGAATAATATTTTCGAGATCTTTCATGCCTGAAAAAAAAACAGTAAATTAAGTATTTAAACACAAGTTACGAAAAATCTTACTACACGTTATTTTACTTATACTTTTATTTAATATTGAGAACTGTCGATAAAAAGCTTTTAACCATCTCTTTATAAATCAAATCCTCCACTTAACATTCAAGCTAAACAAATTTGTAACAACATTTATTTTAATGCAAGCTTTTTAGGCATTTTGCTAGGTTTGTTTAAAACATATTAAAAACGAGCTTAATACTTCAACTTTAGTTCTAACTATTGTTTATGAAAACGGTAGAAAGGAAAATTATTTATTTTTTGACCCATTTTGGTCTAGAAGTTTGACGGTCCATACAATAATCCCTCCACGACCGTGGACACGCCGGCGAGTCAGTTAACAATAGATTTCTTAGAATTTTAATTAATTTCTTACAAATTTTCCTGGAGGTGTTAAAGACAAGTATACTCACTCATACACAACTGGTTGGTTAACAAGAACTCTTTGTTTTTCTTTTACGGGACCAACATCTTCACTAGCTACCGGCAACTTATTTTCCATTGCACCATCCGGTGCAGGACCTGGGACCTCAGGTTTCGGGACCTCAGGTTTCGGGACCTCAGGTTTCGGTTCCATGGTATCCTGAAAAGTAAGGAATTAATATAAAGCCATTATCACACTAGTCAAGAGTGAAAAAAGAACAGTACAATTTATTTAATTTAACTATTTTTTTCAACAATTTTATTCCAAGTATTTAATTCTAATTTGGACGTGACATTACAGCAGCTGTTATTATTATTTTTATTATGTATTATTAATTGTTTAACATATCTTTATTTATATTATATAGGTATATCTATGTGACGTTTTAATTGCAAATTTATAATTATAATTGATTTTTTCTTTGTTCTTAAATTGTGTTTATAGTTTTATCCACATGATCATTTAAAAATCTTAATAATAATTATCATGCTGTATTTACCTATAACTAAAAGTGCAATTAAAATGTTAAGTGTATTGCTTAGATCAAATGTGTTTAGCCATTGTACATTTTTTTGGTAATTCATGAAATAAACAAATAAATAGGTAAATAAACTTGTAAGTTTTAAGATCGTGTTCGTAAGATAATAATAATATAATAATATTTTGGGACATTAACACACAGCACCATCTAGTTCCATGTTATGCTACGAGGCTTGTGTTGTGGATACCAAATAGTTGATACACTACACATATAACTATTGAATACATACATATTATAAATATAAACACTCATGAGTAGAGTACGAACATTCGTGCTTATCACACAAATTAATGCCCCCAGCGGGACTCGAACCCGCGACCGCTGGCACAGCAAGTAGCGTTACTACAAACTGAGCCAAACGTGTAAGATCTGTGAAATATATTATTTTCATTGTTTTCGTTATCCAAAGCAAGGCTAACATTAAAATAAAGCGAACATAATATATATGTACTTTAAAATCACAATCACTGTTATTTTGTATTGATTTAAATACTTACAGGACAAGACGGTTTGCTCGGCGGTTCAGGAATACCGATCGGCTTTAGACCCATTAAAGCAGATCCAATACCGAAGGCAGCCGCGATACCTTTAACTATCATGGCTCCTACAAATAAGCAGAATTATCATCTTCTATATTAAAGGTTTATTACCAAAAAAATAATATTATAGAAATAGTTAAAAGTTCGGGGTACTAATTTATTCCATTGGTAAATGTGGATGGATGACTAACGATAGTCGAAAAACACTAAATATGTTCGAGCCCGTTTTGCATAAAAGCGCCTAAAATGACTCTAATAAGACTTATAATACTACTTTTATGAATTAATTTTGTTGACCGTATAAGGTCAATCCATGGATCCGGTGACATTCGTGCGACAAAACGATAAACAAAATCCTTAGATGAATCTATGTGTGTGATGTGATCACAAACGTAAAATAAGGATTTTTTGAAGCTATAGGTACTTCTTTTGGGACGTTTGGAAAAAAATATGAGTGTAAAATTTTTACTATGCGCGCGCAAACCGACAGCCAAAAAGTGACATGATGAAAGCTGCATTGCTTTTACAAACAGAGAGTTGTGACATACGGAATGAAATCTTTAGCTGTTTTTGTTCTGTTCCGCCAAAGAACTATAACTTCTTACACGCGCACATAAGTACACACGCATGTTTTTTTCACTGACTAGGTACATATAGGTACTACTCAATTTTATTCATATACGTTTTAACGTTTAGTATAGATTTCTTAGAGATGATATTTTCCCACAGTAAAAAGTATCTCATAAGGTGATCCGGATAACCAACTATCATCGTACTAAATTTCATCAAAAACTGTCCAGTGGTTTACTCGTGATGCGCTCCCAGACAGACAGACAAAAATTCTAAGAACTATAAATTCAGCCTCTGTATCGATTATAACAATGAATCTTCTTCTTTCTTCTTCCTGCCCATTTCCCAAATTACTTGGGGTCGGCGCAGTACGTCTACCATACTGTTGATCGGTTTTGGCAAAAATGTTACGACCAGCCGACGGCCTGACATCAATCCTCTTTGGGAATGCTGTTGTTTACCAACGTCGTGCAGAAGACCCGAGGAGCGATAACCAGCACAGGATCGACTTCTACGACACTTGCAGTATTTTATCTTAATTTTATTGAGGCGACGTTTCAATTATAACACAATTAGAGTTTAATTATATATAGATATTTAATTAACAATTTAGAGTCAATTTTGAGATAATAATAATGTATTTTTAATAAGCTTTATATTAGAATATAATTTCAATAAGATTTACCAAAAAATATTTAATGTACAGATTCGACTCAGTTAAAAATTTATTATATGTATAGATAGATATATGTTCTCTAATTATAAATACGTACATACTTTATTTTCATACGTATGAATGTCTATATATGTATTAATTTTATGTCGTAATTCTTAGAAAAGTTAGTTAGGTTAAAATAAAAAACAAAAAAGTCAATATCAATAGTAAAGTTACCTTTAAATATAGCAGCCTTAAGGGCGAGCGCTGCTACTGCTTTCATCGCCATAAGGGCCGCGGCACCTTTTAAAGCTAGCCCTGCAACAAGTGGTGTGTCTTCTTGTGCTTCCATACAGTCCGCTTTCCTTGCTACGATAACCGAAGCAAGTGCTGGTGGCGTCAACAATGAGAAACATGCCACCTGTTAAAAAAGAAATAGTAAATGATATCGTTTTACTAAAACATCGATTTTTATTGAAATAAATTGGAGGCACAGTTTTCCAACTAGCTACGCAGAAATTTCTGACAGTAAAATCGATTAGCTCTTATGACCCGAGATAGGATTTGAACTCAGGACTCCTTGGCATGTAAGGCAGATTAACAAGACTATACAATTTTAAACATATCTTAACAGTTAAACGGAAGTGTACACAGTGTACAATTTTTCATTATAGACATATATATAACTCTAGATCCCATGTTACGACTATATTAGCATATTCATACACTACATAGAAATATGTTGGGACGATAACACACAGCACCATCTAGTTCCATGGTAAGCTACGAGATTTATGTTATGGATACCAGATAGTTGATACACTACACATAAATAACTTTAAGTACATAAATATTATAAATATAAACACCCATGACTGAAATACAAACATTCGTGCTACACAAATGAATGCCCCCAGCAGGACTCGAACCCGCGACGGCTGGCACAGCAAGTAGGATCATTACAAACTGAGCCAGTCCTGTCGTCAAATATATATACAGATTTTAAAAGTGAATCTGCTAATAACTACGAAACTACTAAAATAGAACATAAAGGTTCTTTCCTTCAATAACAAACAAAAATCATTTTGAACACCACAATTTCATCTGAACTCTGTTTGCATTTTAGGAAACACATTGAATATTTATAAGAATTACTTACCGACAAGATGATTATTTTATACTCCATTTTCAAGTGTCACAAGTAAAAATAAATACAAATGTGAATTTCATTTATATTTATATGGTATTTAATGAACATTAAAGACATATTACAAAATAACATTAGGCTAATACGCACAATATGATTAATTATGTAATGACTTTTGCTGATTGCTGTAGGTGCTGCTCATGGTTAATTTTTGTGCCGTCAAATACTTGCGAATATACTTTAAAATATAGTAAACTCACCCACTCACCCTTGCTTCGCTTAGATTCGCCTTTAGAAAAACATAAACAAATCTATCCCACGGGAACCGTACATTTTTCCGGGATAAAAAGAAGCCTATGTGTTTTTCTGATATATGAGCTATGTTATTTTAAAGTTTAATTAAAATCTATTCTGTGGTTTGTCCGTGAAAGAGTAATAAACATCCTTACATCTATACATCCAGATATCCATACATTGCCACAAGTTTTCGCATATACGAGTATAATATTAGTAGGATTATATCTTTATGTTTGATTGTATACATATGTGAGTGTATTTCTATGTATTGATTTCTTCTCGATCAATTTTATGAAATGAAGCGAGATAAAGAAGAGTAAGAGAAATCAAAACTTCAGTATCTGTGCTAATATTATAAAGAGGCAGAGTTCGTATGTTGTTTTGAACGTGCTAATAATCTCAGAACTTCTAATCCGATTTGAAAAAAATCTGCATTAGATATCCCGTTTATTGAGGGAGTCTATAAGCTAAATATCATTATGCTACTACCCAATGGAGCGGGGCAGTAGTCATAAAGTCAGGCAGACTTCCATACATTAGTGTAAAATTGATATTTATAATATGTTTAAGAGCTTTAAGCTCAGAAAATTTGGACAAATACTCATCGTGTAGAGGGTAGGCATATGAAACTAGCATATAAGTATAATCAAATTAAACGCGGGTGAAACCGCGGGGCACAGCTAGTAATCATTAAAAGTACGACTTAGTCTTATGCGTAGTGTGGAACAAAAATGCCTGTTATTATTACATGAGCAAATGATCCTGTCTATCATTTTGCTTATTTGAATTAACTCTGTTATCTGTAAAAAAATCTTTAGTACAGGGTCAATGTATTGTTATAGTGTACATATAATTCGACGCAGATAAGTATTTATATTAGTTGAATACATACAAACAGTATTCTTCATTGTGTTCGATATTGGAACATAAGTAAGCAACAGGCTCACACAGAAGTTTTAGTTGAAAAAATATTGTTATTTTTTGGGCCAGTTGTACTAACTTTAACCTCCGCTGCGCACTTCTCTCAATTTATGTTACACTTTCACCCAAAAATCTAGACTAAGAACACGTAATAATAATGGAAAATACGCAATGGAAAGTATAATAGACGTAATGAAAAATATAATGAATTGAATTGACGACACATTTGGCTTAGTTTGTTGTGATGGATGTTTATAATTATAATATGTATGTATTTAAAGATATATATGTGTACACTACACATATATAACCAATCAACTATCTGGTATCCATAGCACAAGCGTCGTAGCTCACCATGGAACTAGATGGTAATGTATGTTAGTGTACCAACTTATTTAAGTTATTTATATTAAATGTCTATTTACCTATTTCGTATCTGCGCTAAAAAGGATAGAGTATTTGTTAGTCATAAATGCATAGCTTCTTCGTTTATAAGTGGTTGTACTAACATAAAGCTGGAAGTAACAAATCGATGTTACTGTCACACTTCATATACAAATGATAATTGATTCGCTCTACATTTGGAACAGAGCTATCTATAGAATCATGTTGTGCATAAAATTTTTTAATATCATATATATTATTATATGGTTTTGTTCTATAGTATATAAGAATAAACAAATATTATTAGAACACGATTTGGACGACACGTTTGGCTTAGTTTGTAGTGGCCCTACTTGCTGTGTCAGTGGTCGCAGGTTCGAGTCCCGCTGAGTTCCATGGTAAGCTACGAGGCTTGTGTTATGGATACTAGATAGTTGATACATTATACATATATAACTTTTAAATACATACATATTATAAATATATATTAATGTATATATGGGTGGATGATATAATTAATACTTTATTTCTTCTTATTAACTTTATATACAAATCACGACTGACGACATATTCTATTTTTTATATATACTAAGCAAAGACAATATAGTGTTGCCACTTGCCAGTTAGGCATAGATAAAATCCTAACAATATAAACACCCATGACTGGAGTACAAACATTCGTGCTCAACACACAAATGAATGCCCCCAGCGGGACTCTAACCCGCGACCGCTGGCGCAGCAAGTAGGGTCAGTACAAACTGAGCCAAACGTGTCGTCAAACTCTTACTCTTTTACTTCTAGTATTTATCACGTTAGCCTAATATTTACTTTGAATTAATATCTGTTTTTCAATTTCTTTGTACGTACATCTTTTTATACAACTACGAGTAATCACATTCTTAATACGGTATATACGCTATCATTATAATAGACGTTAGTGAAAGATAAAATTTAATATGAATTAAAAATAAGCCAAATAAATGTAATATTGTACCCTTTCTCTAACCTCCGTAATAAGTAGGTGCTTTCCCATCAAACCAGCATTAAATCTTAAGTTACCGATATCGCATTTCCAGATTGATTAATGAATGAAAAGGCTCATTTCAACAGTTTTCTTTAGAGAAGAATGTCGAAAATCTGTCCAAACTTTTTAAAAATAGCTGAGACGTAAGTGTTTAAGTAAATAAATATGTTATGCATATAAATTCCAGCACGCCTCACCAATTTTAGCTAATATACGAGTATATACTCTTTATTGCACATAAAAACAAAAATACAAATATTAACAGAAAGTTGAAGGCAAAGGTGGGCTTATTTCTATAAGAGAATTCTTCCAGTCAACCTAGGACGTGAGAAAGATGTCGGGGCGTCGTAGTTGAATGCGTAAGCGATCCTGCGACGCCCCATTAAGACGGGAGAAGGTTTGGTTGGGTTTTAGTGGGTAGTACTAGCTTTATTACGCCGGTGAGTCCCACACCTCGTGCGTAAATGCATTTCCCAACGTTAAAAAAAAAAGGACGTGAGAAAGATTATCATTTAGCGGAGCAGAAAAGTGCAAGGTAATATGAATATAAAGTACAAAAAAACACAGTATACATAAAAATAACATACTACATGTAGTCCTTATATAAAAAAACTATTTTTAATTAACATTAGATATAATATTTATTACATTTATGTATACCAATTAAAGACGACTTTAAAAGAATTCTAAGTAATTGATTTGTTTATCTAAATTATGGTGACGATGATATTAATAATTGCTATACCGGTTCTATTATTATATCGGCATTTCATTAGTAGGTATACCAAATAATAGCATTTTTATAGTTAGTTTAATAGTACTTAAAGTAAGTTATTAGTCGTAAGTACTAAATATTTAAAGTAGTAGCCCATTGGTAACGCGCTCGCTTAGAGAACTAAGCAAAGCAAGCTCCAACTATGAGTTTTGCCCCTTTGATATTTTTATGTACGAATCATTTTCAACATAACTGCCACATATACGTGTTATAATGTGGATGGACCATGAAAAGCCATGCTTCTTCTAAGGTCAATAACAAAAAAGTCATAGTTATTGCCATGCAATAACAAATTCCTTCTACTCAGAGTTCATACTAGCACCCATCGAACTTAAGAACACAGACACGGCGGAGAGACGCTGGCGCTGCTGGTTTGTCTATGCGATCTCTCACTTCTTTCGTTGAAGTTAAAATTATAATATGCGCTCCCAGCAAAACTTTAGTTTTCAAGTAAATAAACTATTATTTTCTTTAATTATTTTTTTAATCTCAATTGATATATACGAATTTGCTGTTATACTAAAGAAAAACTATATGATTTTATTTTAATTTTAGTTAAAATATCGGTAGTGTTCCTAAGAAAGCCAGTGGTTCATTGTAAGGCCAAAAAAATCATCAAAAACTTGACAGTTGGCCTTGCTAGGGCACAAGGACCGTGCTAGGAACATTTAGGAATCACGAAAATATTAATACTTAGTTTTTAGTTGTAAATACGTATCGGGGATTCATAATATTATTGCTTATAATAATGTTTTAATTTTTTTTATTTTAAAACTCCTTTTGGCCTTACAAGGAACAGATCCTTACGAAGTCGGTATATGTATCGGTATATGTACAGTATAGTCGAGTTTTTTTTTATTTTTATAAAGATTATTGGCAAGTTATTTGATATCGATATTTATTATTAAAATTATTTTTTAAATATTTTCACGAATAAATGCTTAGTTTTACGATAGTGTTCAAGTAATGTTCGTTGACTATTTTTTATATGAATATGTTATGATATGCATTTGATGTTTCATTTTAATGAAAGATTTTTTTCATGAAGATTGAGTATAATCAGATATTTTGATTATCTCACCGTTAGTTTTAAGCAAAACCATTGATTTAGTATATCGGCCTTATTTGAAGCCTATCTTGTATGTTCCTAGCAAGGCTACCTTGGAAAAGTTCAATAAAACTTAAATTTAATAAATAATCATTAACTCTGCAATAAAATAAAATGTTTTATAAGTTACAATTAATAGAACAAAGTGCTACTTAATCATTTATTTGTTTCAATTATCCAATAAATAAAAGTATAACAACTGTTTATTTCTTAGAGTGGTCCTTCATGGTCCACCCACTTTGCTTGTGGTCTGCTCCGGCAGACCTGCCGTTGGGGCGTCGTGGTTGAGTGCGTAAGCGACCCTGCGACGCCATATTAAGATGATGTTGGGTTTTAGTGTGTAGTACTGGCTTTGCCAGTGAGTCCCACACCTCGTGCCTAAATGCATTTCCCAACGTAAAAAAAGGATGGTAAAATATATTTAAAAATCGGATAGCATTGCACGTACAATTTGATGTTACACACGACCCGGCAGCAACCGAGGGTAAGTACATGAAATAATCGAAAACAAAAATATTACAAATATATTA